CTTCTAGAATTGTAGCCATCGAATTAGGAATGTTTCTTTTTTCTTTCTTTTTTAATTGTTCTGACAATGTGTGTTGAGAATTTATCGAAGCTATTGAAATAGATTGCAATATTTCTAAAGATATCTTTGGAGTAATTAATTAATGGCAAATGTTTGAGAGATATAAATAGTAGTAAATTAAAGGTATAATTTAAAAGTTAATAAAAATAATTTGTCATTTATGTAATTAGTAAAATAGTAATTTTTACTTGTGATTTTAATTCGATGCAAAAAAAAAAAAATGTAGAAAAATTTTAATTTTCAAAATCTTATTGAGTATATTAAAATGTTTTATCATCAAAAGAAAGAATTACGATTGAACAAAACAAATACATACTGGAAAGGTCTTCATTTCAAGTATTTTAAAGTATTTTTTATTTGCATTAAAAAAAAATAGCTATTTTTTGTTATCAGTAAAAAATCAATTTAACTTATTCATTACTATTAACAATTTAACTTTAATTCTCTGTCAAATGAAAAGAAAGAATAAATCATGATTTTGTGTTAAAATTTTATGATATATTGTATTACGTAAAATCTTTGCAAACCTTTATTTGTCAAAATCTTCATTCAACTCTCATATTAATTAATTATTAACGATTCATTGAATATACCAAAAATGAATCATCATGCGAATTCTTCATTCTAACAAAATCAAAGGCAAAAATTGATCCGTTAATTGGAGAGTTACCAATTAACGACGGCATTAAAACCAGAAACGAACGAGATTACAACCATTGGCCGATCGCGTAGATGTCTTGGAATCGGACCACTCCTTTTTATTCCTCCGAACGAGCCATCGTTTTCCTGCAATCCTGTGAAACGAGAAAGGGAGCGGAAAAATAAAAGGAATATATTAAGAGTGTCTCCGATGGCGTTCTCCACGGCAGTCTGTTCGCTCTAATTTCTAATTATTCCGCCGGAGTGGTTCTAATTAGCGTAGCTACGTAGCTACCTACGTACAACTGTTTCCGCTGTGTCTGGGAGAGGGAGAGGAGGGGTGTGTAGGTTAGGTAAATAAGCTTCTCGGCCCCCTCTCTTTCTTACTCGAAACACGCGCGCTCGAGAGAGACAACATCCACGAAAAGGATTTTATCGTACACTCGTTGCCTTGGGCGCAATAATTATTCGAAAGGAAACACACCTGTAGAGGACATCCGATCGAAACGATTCTTCAGAATCTTTTTTAGAACGTAATTAATGATGCAATATTAATGATGAATTTATTTTATATTTTAATATTTTATTTGTGGAGATATTAAAAACATAGGATTTAAAAGTTTAATTAAATATTTTGTAAACTTTCAATATGAGAGGGATTCTCGTAATTTTGTGATCCTTGACGATTCTTCCTTCTTTTAAATGTGAAATCCACTTTTTAACACTATGACGATAGGATAATCTTCAAGAATTGATAAAATAGAGAAGTAATGAATTGAAAAAAAAATGATAAATTAAAAAATACGTAAATATGTAATATAAATATATAACTATATTGGTATTAGTAGTTAAGAGCCACGTGGCGCTAGTGTCGCGTCACTAATCCTACTTACTAATGTTAGAATATTTTGATGCTGGAGAATATTTAAGCAATAAATAAATTTTTATGATACGTTTCTTATAAAATTTATAAATTTAGTGCATATTAAGATCAAACGATTGTTTGACTGTGTTGCAATTTATTCTTAAAAATATATTATCTAAGATATTATATAACAATCAATTATTTCGTATCATTCTTAACTTATTATCTTATTAACTTAATTATGTTATTAAGTTTCTGTATTATTTATCTTCGATTACTAATGATCTCTTCCACAGTTCTATTTTTTATTATTTTATTATCTATTTTATTATTATTACTGTTATAATAAAGTATCATAATTATTATCAAAACGTGAATACAACTCGACAACACATTTGCGTGATATGCGAAACGTCGAAACTTGATTGATCATTTTTAAATTCGATTTCAAATCATTAATTCGGCCTGAAAACGAGGGAAATATTTTAAAATTCTTCATTCCCAACCCGAAATAATTTACATTGATATTAGAATCAAATTTCTTACAATCAATTGAACGAATCCTCCATGCTCGGCAGGATTTTAATAAACGTTGCACGGGAAAAAATCTTGTTTAATTCTTGCGCCCGCTGGAAGCGTTCGAATGAAAATCCTCCCATTGCAGGAACTTTTACACTCGATATTCGCCGCGTTCCTGGTGTTCGTTCCGGAATCGCGCGACGATACCTGTTGCAATTGCTTTAATAACGCTTGCAGGATCACGGCGTTCGAAATAATTAAAAGTACAATATTGTGTCGCGCGAGAAAGAGAGAGAGAGAGAGAGAGAGAGGAGGAGGAAGGAAGGGGGAAAAATCGAAGTACAGGGAGAAAGGAAACGAGTCTCCTCGGCCTGGAAAATTCACAAAGGAATTTATTTTCACATATTTAATTGAAATGGTGGCTGGATACTTTGACGAAAAAAAAAAAGCATAAGTATTAATTGCTCATATTATTATGTCGTCCGTTTTATTCCGTGTATTAAACCCGATATAATTAATTCTTTAAACTGCGCCCCGTTTGATCTTGAAAATGAGGATAATATTGTTTTAAGAGCCGCCATAAAAAAGCCATTTTAACGGTCGGAATATTTTTGAATAATTTGAAGATATCTTTTTAATTAAGATTCGTAATGAAATGATTAGTTATCATTATTCTTTTCTTCTAGATAAACTGTTGAAAAAGAAAATGGAAGAAACGTTCTATATTTAGAGAATATTAGATAACTTTCGATAATAAATTTTCATTTTATTACGTATTTTTTTACTTCTTTAATTTATTTATTTAATCTAAAAGTTTACTAATTTATTAATCTCTTATATAATGAACTCTCTATAATGAAAATTGATAAATCACATTGTGTCGCGAAATAACATTTTTAGCAAATGATATATTATTTTTAAAGAGCAATTAAAATATTTCTAACTACTTCATGCCTTTTTGTACAATTTTTAAAAAACTAATTTGTGCACGACACAGCACAATAATCGAGATTATCCTGTTTCGAATTCGTTGCCCTCTGTTTGGACGAAGGAAAACGGAAGAAAGGGAGGAAATGAGATGTGGGCACATAGTCGAGGGTAAAAGGATCGTAGAAGCGAAAGCTGACATCGAGATGACAATTATTATTTCGAGTGGTTGGCGATGGGATGCCGGTGATATTTTATTTAAGATACAATCGCGTAATAGCTTGCTTCAAGAGGATGGATAACGTGTTGCCAGAGTGGTCGTAGAACGAAAGAGCAAGAAAGAAAGGTTAAGGTGAAAAAAATTGATGCTTACAACGTAAATAAGAAAAAGAGAAAGAGAGAGAGAGAGAGAGCCTGAGGGATAAAACAGAATGAAACCAAAAAGGAGATAAAAGGTGAAATTTGAGGGGAGAACAGCACAAAGAGGGATGATTCTACATTAGTAAATTACCTAAAGCCCGCATCTCGTGATCACTATTAGAAACGATGACTGTTTCTTCTATTTATTCGTGTTACTTCATCCAAGAATAATTGAAGTGTTGCCAATAATGATTGAGAATGATTTGGCACCTGAAAATGTAAAATTGTAGAATATTAAATAAAGAATAATTTCTTGGAAATGATAGAGAAGTGCATTATCAAATGGAAATAGATCATTAAGAATTATGATCTAAACTAAATGCAAATTTCAATAAAAAAAAAAAACAGAAAAAATATTTTCTAAAAATACATACCATCTTTTCCTTTTCTTTTAACTTGAAATTAAAGATAATCTCTAACAGAAATTCCTCCCAAACATTCACAATTATTATCTCAATGTTGAAAAGTATGCAAATACTTTACCTATGTAAATGTTATCGACAGTTTTCTGGATACCCATTAGTGATTAAAAATTGAAAATACAATCGCGTTGTTTGATAAGCGGCCTCGCTTCCAACGCGAAAGAAACAACCCTCTCCTCCTTTTTTTCTCTCCTCCACGGAACCTCCAGTGTCGAAAAAACGGCTAACGAGTTCGCACCACACGCGTCTGTATCGGTGGAGGAAACAACAACGGCATTCCAGCGTTTTCCTCGTCGTGACAGGGAGGAAAATGTTGGACGTTCTCTTCTGTGGCGGTCCCATAGGTGGCCGATGGCGGACCAAGCAAATCGATGGGAAAAAAAGTTGGCATACGCGTGTGAACGCGTCGATATGACGTTATCCAATTAAAAAAGCTGCCTTTGTGTAACCCGATCCGTCGTAGCCAGCCGCAGCCCACGCTGCTCTTCCAATCTAAACCAACCCCCGTTGCTGCTTCGGCTGAAAGGCTGCATCCAATTAGTACATACCTTCCGCTCTATTGTAACTTCGGTACACGTACGATGCGCGGACGATATCTTTGGACTTTCCGTTCTAGAATTAAAAAAAAAAAAAAAAAAAAGAAAAGAAAAAAGGAGGGAAAACGAGAAAAAGAAAGTACTTAACGAATGAGCGCATCGATCGTGCCAGGAATTTACCTTCTCCCCGTGAAATTAGAACGATTAGATTATCGTTGGACGCATGTTTCTATTATTATTATTAATCGAGACACGAGCAAGTAGAAAAATTAAAATTGAATAATTCCCAAGTACGAGTGAAATTCGAGCGTTAAATATGAATTAGGGATTATTACTCTATGTGTGAAAATAAATGTAAAAAAAAAAAGGAAAAAAAAATGTAGAATAAAATTGTAACTGTAAAATTATAATTAAATCTGCTGGAAAATCGAGATTGAATTATGCATAGTCAAGGAATACCGATTTGAATTTTCAAATCCAATCTTTTGCAAAAAGTAATTTTACGTATTCATTTTATACAAACAAGTGAATAGAAATAATTTCGCTGAGTTCTGAATTAAAAATGTACAAGAAAAAAATAATATAGAAAATATAAGAATTTAGCAGTAGTAGAACAATATTGCATGAATAATTTCTCTTTTACATTCTTCTTTATTATAAAAAATATTTAATCTGCACATTTATGAATCACACTTTTGCATATATTTATCACAAAAAGAAAAAAATTAGCTGTACGAATATCCACTTTCTTTACCTATTGCACAAAAATTTGATTCTTTCATATCTCTTAACTTAACGAATCGTATTTCATTATTAATTCCAACGCGATAATAAAAGTAGCAATGTAGTAAAAACTATAATTGTTCGAGACTCTGGTTAAATAATATGAATGATATGCTCGAGAACATATCGTTAAAAGTTATAACGCTAATGGACGAATGACACGCGTGTGACATCATTAGAAATTAAATATTGAGTCACTTTATGCATCGTACACGTATCTATCAATTCTTAAACGTTTCAATGTTCAATCGAGACTCGTATATGTATTGCTGACTAAAACACGAGTTATTAAGTCATCGATTGCCAGAAACCTACATAGACAGTCTGTCGGTTGGATTGCCTAGTGATAGCATGGATGTACAACGACTGGAGGAACGATACTTAAAAATAAACAAAATATATTCAATCATCATTGGCATGTGGCCGAATCAAAATCGCAAAATGATTCGCTGTATTTTTGTAGAGTTTATAGGAATCGCGGCGCATCTTACACAGGTGTTTGATTTGTTTTTATAAAAAAAGAAGAGAGAAAAATCAATACTATGATTATAATTTGTCTATCATTAATAATATTGAGATATCAATAATGTTTTATTAATAATTAAATATTACATTTTTTGCATCTTTAGGAATGAGATATTGTATCGGATTCAATTAATCGAAGTTCAATATATTATTTGAATTCAATATATTTTGGGGATGAAAATTCTATATTGTATTAAATTCAGTTGATTTTTTCATTCAAAGTTTGATATTTCGAGAATTTAACAATGTGTTGATATTTCGAAAATGTTATAGCTTCTATCTTCAACTCTGAATTGCATTGAATCAATCCAAATTCGATTCAGTTTGAAAATGTTTGACAATGTGCTAATACAATGTTTTAAATATTATTAATAAATATTATTATTTATTATTTTTAAAAACAATTCTTTTAATGTATCAAATTCAATCCAATGATCGATGTTTTGCAAATATTACATCTTCAGAAAGAGTTTTGATACTGTATCGAATCGAAACTGATTCAATTCAAGTTTAAAATAACGCAAAGAATAATTTCTCTATTAATTTTTTAATTTGGCAATGATCATTTGGTTAATTTCACGGTAGGGAAGCAACATAATACTATTCTTTAGTCTAAGTGTTGCAATGGATCAAGTTCCCTTCTTGGTGGTGGCTACTCTCTTAATGATAAAGTATAATTTTTTTATTATTAATGAGCAAAAGGTGAGAAATTTCGATAATTACAAATTCGAATAGTAACAAGTGAAGTGATTAAGATTTTAATCACTTTTATAAATCGTTTCTTTGTATTTGTAACAGTTCAAGGAATTGTTCACGAGCATTCTTAATGATTGGCAAAAGAAGAAAACGCACGAGGAGGAGATGATCATGGAAAAATACGCTGACAAAAGTGTATTCTTTATATTAATATACGTAGGTAAGATATATCGACAATCAATTTCCTCTTGTCTCAAATTAATTCTTTCCATTGCAATTTATTTATAATTAATATAAAATTTTCTTAAAACAAGTGTTAATTAATTAACGGTTTTGTTACTTTTTTAATTGATTAGTTACTAATCAAAAGTAGAACTCGAGAAACATTGCAATATTTCAGGCTAGTTTAATATTCCATAAGCAATTTACTTCAGTTGATTGAGAATAGATTGAATTTTTTATACTATACATACAATGGCTTCGTACTGTAATAACATTAAAGTTAAAATTACTTATTTGAAATGCCATTATATAAAGTAATTTCTTTATATTTCAATCAAAACATCTATTCATTTTAAAACAATGTTTATAACGAATATTAAAATCTATATTTGAAATACCATTCCTTTATTGCAATCGTTATTTGAAAAAAAGATTTAAAGTTCTGTATCATTCAAAATCTATCTATATTCCTCATCTCATTGAATATATTCTTCCTCTATATATTTTTGCATATAATATGATATATTCAGCAAAAGAAAAAAAAAAAAAGAAAAAGAAAAAAAGAAAATACTATTTAAAAGTATTATTCATGAAAAGAATCTTTTAATTACGTTAAAAAAAAAATATGAATTCGCATAATAACGATATATTCTCAATAATTAAACGGCACACCTTGACACATTGATGATACATTGCAGTAAACGCGTACTTTTGCTCGATCCTCTTCTTGCTCCTTCCCTTCACACCTATTTTGTTGGATATATTCATACCCTTGAACGAGTCACGGCCAAGGGTCCAGATGTATCCAGCGTATTACTATATCGAGAATGAGGCCGATTATTATTATCCCATTTTGATATTCTCGATCGTATCGTTGCTGACGGCGATGTGCGTGTTCATTGCAACGGACACGATGCTGATCTACATCGTGCAACACGCTTGCGGATTGCTCGCCCTCGCAGGGTAAGTTCTGACGTTACATGCAAATATAAATTGTGATAATGCTTACTTGCTCATCGTTGACAGTGCGTTTTTAACGATAACGTAACGATATAACTTATTAAGAAAAAAAAAAATTATAAAAATATATGTTGAATGAAGAGCGATCTTACTCTGTCTCGCTTCATCCAACGTAAAATTCAATCGCTTATAATTCGATAAAATAAGTTTCAATCGATATCTTTGTATAACAACATTTATACTTATTTTGATCTCTAGAATTGAGTCTTCAAAAATGTTTAATAATAATATATCTTGTTTAAGAAAATTATATTTTTTGAAATATAATTTTGCAGTCACCGCTTCAGAAATAGTTTGAACGATTTGTACTCGTCGAGGAAAGATTCGAAAGTGGATGGAAAAATATACAGAAGATTGTGCTACGCCATTAAAACTCACAAACGAGCGCTTGCGTTAGTATAATGATGTTCGAATTTTTGTCGTTTTGTTCTTGTCCTTTGTGATTTGGTTAAAAATTTAAATTAATAATTGATACAATTTTTTAAATAATAGTTCTTTGATAATTTTCTAAAGTATTTTAACAAATTCTCAATTTTACGATTGAAAAACGAATCAGAGAAGCACGAAGTTTTTTATTCGCATTGACTATTATATTTTATCACTTTATTGATACTCTTGCGCGCTCTTGGGTAAATTATTGGACACATGAAAATCGAATTTTAAAATTAGATATCTCGCTGAAATCGAGGATTTTTACTCTGTGAATATCTTTATGCAAGTGGGTGCATCAATTTTGTGTCTTACTGTCACGATGATGAAGGTGAGCGATCTTCATTCTTGATGAATCTCTAATAATTGTGGAAAATTGATTAAAAATATTAATTTAAAAAAAAAAAAAAGAATAGCTACAATAACATGGTCCATGGAAACTAATCAGTATTATGGATACGTGATTGCTCAAGTGGTGCACATTTTCTTCCTTACAGCTCAAGGCCAATTTGTTATTGATTCACACGAAAATGTTTATTGGGATATGTAAGTATTAACTATAATGTAACAAAATCATTTTTATTACGTGTGATAATTTTTTTATGTGATCAAAAAAATTCTTTCATTCTTTTTTTGATGAAAAAAATATAATATAAAAAAATTTATATGTATTTTTATATTATAATATTTTATATTAAAATTTGTTTGGATTTCTGTAATCAATCAATGTATAGATTTTTTTTAAATCTGGATAATTATTTCGAATATTAAATGAATTTCATAAAATACAATTTATATAATTTTTCTATTAAACATAACAAATAAATTATATTGAGAGTTTTATTGAATTTTTTCTAAAAATTTTTTTTCTACATTTCTTGCATTTTTCTTATCTACTAAATAAACACAACAAAATTTTGATTATCTGATAATATTTATCGTTAATTACGTTTCTTTTTATTTTTGCCTAGATCTATTTTGTTAATTGTACAATTTATATAAACAGTGATATCGTAATAGGTATGAACCATATTGGTATAATTTGCAATCTAAAATGCAAGCAATGTTCGTTCTGATACTGCGAAGAAATTTGAATCCCCCTCTGTTAACAGCCGGTGGATTAGTACAACTAAACTTGAACACCTTTGCAAAGGTAAGCCATTAATCAACTCGGCAATACAATCGAGCATTCTCGAATGCATTTCACACGATATTCGTTTTAGGTCGTGAAAACGAGTGTCTCGTATTTTACCGTATTAAAATCTGTCTGAATGCCATTAATTATTCAAAAGAACAGTTGCCAAGTATAATATATTTTAACGTATGTATTATTCGTACGATAAAAAAGAAAAATCACAAATTCATATTAAATATTTTATGAACTACTGAACATTCACAAAAATGAAATTTATTTTAAATTAATTCACAGTTAATCATCAACAGTAACTAATCATTTATTAATTCAGAATTTATAGAAAAATAAATAAATATAAATATATTTCTTCTTCATTTTTTTTTTATCATTTTTTGAAAATTTAAAAAATACAAGATTTCCTTTTTAAATTTACCGCTGATAGTTACTGCCATCTATGGCGAAGAATTGTAAATCTTTAGTAAGACATAGATTTTTAAAAATGTATTTAATCATATAAGTGGTGAAAGTAATGAATAAAATAATATATCGTTTCATATTAATATTTTTAAAAATTAAAAATGCTTTGAAAAATATGCAATACATTTATAATATTTAATTATTTATAATTACTTACAGGATAATGCAGAGATATAGTACCAGATACCACGTGAAGAGGGCAATATGCACACGATTCTGCATATTAATTTCAATATTTAATTTATGTTCTTTTTATAGATGAATATAGAAAAACTTTTATACGTATATAAATAACACATTATTATTTCAAAATATATATCTTTGCATTTTTATATATCTATATAAAAAATTATTTCCAATTGATGATCAATAAAAAATGATTAAAATAGAAAAAAAAGCAAAACTTTTTCGATATATTTATTCATTCTTTACTTATATATTTCTTTCTTCCTTTCGAAATACTATGAAAAAATATTTTAAGAAGAAGAAAATTTTATATTTTAAAAACACCAAAATACAAGAAAAGATAGATTATTCTCTCTTATTCGAAACGATGCATTAAGGATAGTAAAAATGAAACTCACAATTTGGCATAATGCAACATTCTTGCTATAACGAATGTTATACTGTGATAAAATGCTGCGACGAATCGAGTATTGAAAAGAATACTTTCCATCATTAATTTTTCAATCCCCTTATATAGATCCACTTATCCACTTAGTGCATACAGATTACCGCATCACTAGCCACTAGCTATTATATATCTAGAATTAAATCATGTTCAGTTATTCTTGCAATTTCTTTTTTCTTCGTAAAAAGAAAAAAAGATAGTAAAAAGTCGACACCGCCATTACTTGTACAATATAAAATGCTTTCATTTTTCATATAAAGTAATCAAACCTACATATCTTTGTAGCACGAATAATCGCTACATTGCTTATAAAACAATTATTTGAAATGATAAAAGAATTACTTATTGCTGCTACTGTTGCAGTGGAAAATATTCACGTTTGCACTTAGACTAGTCTAGTCATGGCAATTTCTTCGTGGATTTGAAGACTTGAGAAACGTTTCTCGAGGATAGACTAAAAGATAAAAGAGATCCTGTGATAAAATATGGATCAACAAACAATAGAAGAGCTATATCTCAAGGATAACAAATTTTTCGGACAACTCGTTGGTGTGTGGCCTGATCAGGGAAAATTCATAAAATTTTTCATACGTTCTACAATCTTTATCGTAATGATTATTGCCTTTATAGCACAGGTATTAACGCTATTATTATCAAAATAACATGTTTGTGAAATTATTATACTGAATAATAAGAATTGTGTGGTTACTTCATGAAAGTATTGATATTAAAAAAAATATTTTAAATATTTTTTAAGAAATTGTGTTATAATTGTTAAAATGTTATCAAAATATAGATATCACGAGTAGCAGTGTTTTACAGCGTCGACGTCTTATCAGATCAAATACCATACATTGATTTGGGATTTGCCCTTATGCTCAAGCAATATAATTATATCTTGAATGAGAAAAAGGTGAAAAACAATTAATTCTATAAGTATTACGATTAAACTATTCTTAAACTAACATCAAAAAAATTTTAGTCCTATTAAATTAAAAAATCTCTGTTCACTTTTTATAGTATATTGTAATATTTAAATTAATATTTAAAATCCGAATTTTTTATCTTTTAAACAAAATTGTAAAATTTTACACGCTTTTCATATTTTTAAAAAATGCTTGAATACAAATTGAATCCCGTTTATGAAATAAAAATTAATACTTTGTTAATTATACATATAATTATTAAAATTATAATTTTAAAAGCATAGCTCAGAGAACTTTTACATAACATTATATCCGATCGACTGGTGACACGATCAAAGGAGGAAGAAGAAATTTTCGAAATGTATTTTAAGAGAGCAATGTTCTTCTGTTCTTTTTACGAAGGTGAAGAGTAAGCAAACAATTCTTCAAAAATTGAAAGTATAAAATTAAACAATATCAAAAATATTTAATTATAAAATTTTGCACTCTTTATTATCTCTTAATCATTTTTGAGTTTTTTTTTTTATTTTTAAACTTTTCATGATACTTTTATGATTCTGAATTGAAATCTATCTAATCAAACAATAATATATATAAATAACTTACGAGAATTTTTTGATGATATAACTTTAGACTCATTTTAATTGATTTGATTTTATAAGTCATTTTAATTGATTTGATTTTATAAAGAAAAAATATAAGAATTTAATTTTTTTCAAATCTAAAAGATATCGTTATTATTAGCTTACAATGAATGAAGATTTCGATTTCATAATATTTTAATTTTTAACAAAAAAAGATTTTATTTCCTAAAAAAAGAAAAAAAAGAATAAACATTCTAATTTTCGAAAGTTTTGAGACAATTCGAGTTTCGTAAATCCAAAAATCAGATTTAAAATTACTTATTTCTAATTATATATATATATATATATTTTACTTTTATTCCTTTTCTTTTTTTTTCAAATATTTTATTATTTTTTAGTTAGCATATATTCTTGCGGATTTATGTTCCTCTCCATGCCATCTATACCACTAATAATGAATGTCATCATGCCACAAAACGAATCACGAAGTCGTGAACTCATTTATCCATCCTATTATTTTGTGGATGAAGAGAAATATTATTATCTCATAACAGGACACATGTTAGCAGTGTGTTTTGGACACGTTTTTGTGTATATTGCCTGCGACATAAATTTGATTCATGTTGTACATCATGGATGTGCCTTGTTAACCATCAGTGGGTAAGTAAGTACTCGGTTTATTAAAAATGATATATTCTTCATCTGTTATATTAAAATTTTTTAATTTTTTTTAGTAACTAATTTTTCTTTAAAGTTTATTATTCAATATCATATATTAAATTAGAGTGTATGTAATTAATAAAAATAAACACAGGTATCGTTTCAAATATGCCATGGATAACGTTGCTCTTTGTAACGAAAAATACAGTGACGAGTTAATGGAGAAAACTTATGCAAAAGTAAGTCAATCCATCGATGCTCACAAAAAGGCTGTCGAGTTAGTATCATTATGTATAATAGATATAATTTGAATTACTTTTTATATAAGCTTCTTTTAATATAATTTTATTATTTAATATATGATGTTAGATATATAAATAAAATCGATGCTTGCCATATACACTATTTCTTCATCCTTTTGGGAATGATAATTATAACATTCACGGGAACATTCATAAAGGCAAGTTATCATTCAATGAAACATTCTGTTTTTGTCTGATCAAGTCATACTATTCAAATAATCAAAATATTAATATATATAATTCTTAATTTAATTTATAATATAATTTATTAATTTTTAATACATTCAATATAGTATTAAAAATCAAAGGAAATCTCAAATGATCGATATTGATTTTTCTATAAATATCAAATACAATATAATTGGAATAATTGAATAATTAAAAATTCATATAGTTATAAAAATATTTGTATTGAATATATTTACAAAAAAGAAAATCTGGATAATATATTTGAAAAACTCTTCTATATTTCTTGAAAGATATTTATTCATGCTGCTTTTTTGTTGTATTACCTTTTAAATTTCTTTCTTTTTTAAATTTAGTTGACATCGATGGAAATAGGAGGTAGATTCTTCACTTTTTGTACATTCACTATTGGTCAACTAACTCATCTGCTTTTTTTAATGATTATGGGACAGTTTTTGATAGATTCAAATGAAGAAGTCTTTAAAACAATGTGAGCCTATGATATATGTACATATATTAATTATTCAAATCGATTGTATATAATTTAATAATAATCAAACAAAATACTCAAATAAAGTTATTGTTAATCGTCAAATTATTTTAATCGTATTTTCGATCGATAAAATAAAAAAAATATTCTAATTCTGAAGTAATGAAAAATATCACAGTATAATAAAAATTTACGATTCAATTAATTATTATTATTTATAGATACGATGCTCCTTGGTATTATGGTTCATCAAAAACGCAATCATTATATTTATTAGTATTGCGAAAATGTTTGAGTCCACCGAAATTGACAGGAGGAGGATTGATAGCTTTGAATTTAGACAGCTTTGTAAAGGTCAGCTTAATTTTATAAAATATTTAGGGATTTATCTTTAAGAAAGAAGTTAACGATTGAATTTTTTCAGGTTTTAAAAGCATCTTTTTCATATTATACAGTTTTTCGATCTTCATAAAATACGATACGAAGTGGAATGTTCGAAGAAATGTTCGGTATATGTTTATGCAAGCGATATTTTTGTTCACAAAAATTTCTTATTTTATTTAATTACGTGATTGCACTTAAGTTATTTGCCGATAATCTTATTACAAATGTGAAGTATAATATTTGTTTATTTCTTTCTTTCATTGTACTAATATAATTCAATGTGATACAATTTATTGATAATTATTGAAAGATGAATAAGATGTGGATTTAAATTTTTATTAATAAATTTTTAATATTGTGCTATTCAATAGTAATATTTCTAAAATATTTCCATGAATAAAATTTATTTTTCAGTGAAGTACAGTATTGAATAGTAAAGATATCTGCGAATTATTATTAAATTTGATACTGAAAATTTAAAATAGGAAAAGAATAATCTTGTATTATATTTTGAACAAACCTGCAAATAGATTTTTAATAAATTAATAATAAATATCTTTATGTAAATATCTCATACTAAAACAATGAAACATAAATCTTAGATATTACTTATTATATTATTGATATATTATGGTATTGAATCATGGCACAAAAAATGACATCGATTCCGAAATATCGATTTAACGAAGTCAGGTCGTGTCACTCTCTCCTTCTCTCATCAACATTATATATTGCTTATTAAATAAATTAATATCGTGTAAATAGTTATAAATGAATTAACCATTGCAAAGAAAAATATAAAGATACATTATAAAATATTTACTGTCTGCTGGATGCAACGTATTTATATTTATATTTACTATAATTTGTTATATTTTATTCGTTATAAATGTTCACCACATAATCACATTAATGGTAATAAATCAGTAGCATTTATTAAACAATTTTTCAAATTCGATTATCCAATTAATTTTCAGTTTTGTATATAACATTTATCCATTCAATGGCATAATTTTAAAAAAAGTAAGAGGAAAATAGAGACGATCTATCTCATTTTTATATATCAATTTTTGCATTCATTTAGAATCGATTCTCTAAACGTGCAGCACGAATATAATATATCTTTATCAAATTAATTGCAGTAAATCGAAGTACAAAAGCATTACAACATTGAAATTAAAATGTATTATAGTATATACCTCGATAATAATTATAGAGTCGGAGTCTCCCTGTTTCAAATAGAAAGAAGCGAGGAACAGCCGTAAAGGGAACTAAGTAGGATATAGAGCCAAAAGGACGGTCACGAAATCGAATCACATTCCCTCATTGTTCGATAAGAAACTTATATCTTGTTGAAAAAATAAGTGAAAACAATATATTCTTCCTTATAGATACAAAACGATGAATTGTCTGAATGTTTCTACTATCAAAATATGAACACCAATATTGGAAGGTGTAACATCGGTCATTAATTTTTCACATCCTGCATATAGATCCATTTATCCACTTAGTTCGTACAAATTATTACGTCGTTAGATATTGCTATTATATCATAATAAAGTTATGTTAAATTGTTCCTGCAATTTTCTTATTAACGAAGGAAAAACGAAGATAAAAAAAAAGCTGTTATTGTTAGACAAAATAGCTTTCCATTTTCCACACAAATTAATCTATATATCTTTGTAAAAGCAAGTAGTTACGTAAAGCAATTATTTAAAAAGATAAAAGAATTATTTAATACTATTATTATAGTATTGAAAACACTCATGTTTTACATTTAGAGAGTCTGATCATGGCAGTTTCTCGTGGACATGAATACTGATGATAATAAACGTTTCCTGAGTGACTAATAGATGAGTAGATCATTGATCATATAAAAATAATTGCGTTTAATTCTTTTCAACTATCCTGTGATAAAGTATTATTATTATTATTATTATTTGCAAGATCATGGACAAGCAAGCAATAGAGGATCAATATCTGAGAATCAACAAATTTTTTGGACAGCTAGTTGGTGTATGGCCTTATCAGGAAAGATTCACCAAATCTTGCATACGATTAACTATATCAGCTATAATAATCCTTATTCTTACAACGCAGGTATTACATTAAGCTATATCTAGTAAGCAATTTCGTTTTAAATTACAAGTAATTATTTATTATAAGTTTCTTATTCGTCACAAAAATAATAATCCAAAAAAATAAATAAGTAAAAAAAATAATGATGTTAATATGCTATATTGATTATGTTCTTTTAATTCAATCTCAAAGAATTGTGTTTTATTTTGTGTGTAATACTATTGACAATGAAAATTTTTAAAATCATTAAAATTCCATTAAAGTTAAAACGATATTACTTATGGGATGATTTAATAAAAAATAAAATTGTATCTCTACACTTTGTGATCAAAGATTAATTGGATAATTAACTTTGAGATTTTCTTTTGATTGTGTATACAATCATCGTATATACAAAATAAGTGATTAAAATCAAATTAGAATTTGACTATTTTTTTCGTCCCCTAAATGAAATTATATTCTATTTTTCTATTCTATATTTCTCTTCAAAGAGAAATTACAATTATACAATATGAAAGTATCAATATGTTCTTGATACAAATCAATATAATTTTCAATAAATTATTGCTATCTATATTTTTTTTAAAATATTAATATTAAATAATAAATATTATAAATAATATTATAGATATTATAGATTATATTATAGATATATCAGGTAATAGTGTTCTGCACATTGGACGCCTTATCGAATCAATTGCCATACTTGAATGCTGTGTTCATCCTCTTATTCAAACAGTACAATTACATTCTAAATGAGGATAAGGTAAAAATTTATAATTCTATTTTATACAATCTTTAGAATAATTATCGGTGTCATTAAAATCGCAGCTCAGAGAACTTCTAAATGACATCATATTTGACCGGCTGATGGTACGATCGAAGAAAGAGTTAGAAATTTTGAACATGTATTCAAGAAGGGCAACGACGCTCTGCATTTTTTATGAAGGTGACAAATAAAAAATAGAATTTTATTAAGAAAATTGATATCGCGAATAAGTTTTTTAATACGAATAAACCTATTTCAAAAATATATAAGGGAATATGTAGAGAAACGTGAGGAAATACTGATTTCTTAAGAAAAGTTATTTAAAAAATAAATTTGTATTTTGTTAATATGTTTTTTAAAACAGTTAATCAATTATTACTATAATAATTATACAATTTTTATCAATGTTATTATTATGTATAAAAGTTTTTCTAAATATTTATCCTGAGAAAATATTATATAGGATGTATAAAAATAATTATTTAATTTTTTAACACTCATATGCATACCATATATATTTAATTGTTATTTATTTTTATCATTAAATATTATAAATTATATTATAAATTATAATATTATAATATTATATATTATAAATTATGAAAGATATATTCTTACTAGTAGTTTATTATAAAAAAAGTATAACTGTTGAGATGTTAAAAATAGTATTAAAAAAAATTTTCATTTTAAATAAGAATAACAAAATAATATAATATGTTTCTTTCTTTATTGTTTTATTATATTTACTTATACATTATATTATTTAATATAATTTTATATTCGTGCAACAAAAATACAAAATGCAAAAATAAAATGAAATATCAATGGAAATTAAGAAATTAATTATGTTTTTCATATAATTCTGAACAATTACCGAATAACGAATAATGTGTTACTTAATATCAATTGTATCATCAATTTCCTCATTTTTTCCTACATCTCCCATCAATCTTCATTTTACTTTTATTATACATTTCATTCTCTTCAGTTATAGTAATTTCCAGCGCGTTCATGTTCATCATGATACCAACTATACCACCTATTTTGAACATCATCATACCCTTGAACGAATCACGGGGCCGTGAATTCATCTATCCAACCTATTTTTTCATAGACGAGGAAAAATATTATTATCCTATACTAACCTACATGGCAACAGTAATATTGATAGTGTCTTCAGTGTATTTAGCCTGTGATACGAATTTGGTACAAATTGTGCATCATGGATGCGCCTTGTTAGCTATCAGCGGGTGAGTATAGTTCACATCTTTCTTCTCCCTTAGATCCCTTTATTCATTTACTTCTTTTCTATCGATAATTTCTCTGTAGGGTTTAGATATTGTGTTAAAATTACGCCCATCTAAAATTTTCACTGTAATTAATGAAAATGAACATAGGTATCATTTCAAGCATGCAGTGGATGACATGAAGTTTCCCGACGGAAATTATATTGACCTGCTAATGAACGAAACTTATGAAAAGGTTAAACAATCCATTAAGGCTCACAAAACAGCCGTTGAGTTAGTATTATCGTGTACAATTAGTAATATAACATGTAAATGTCATACATATCAACTTTTATATATTTTTTATTACATCATCATACTAGATACGTGAATAAAATCGACGCCTGCCATATATATTACTTCTTACTTATCATAGGAACGATAGTCTTAGCTTTCACCGGTACTTTCCTAAAGGTAAGTCATTAAAACTAGCTTGCAAGATACACATACACAGCATACACGATGTTACATATAAAATGGAATATCTTTGGAGGGTCTATTCTAGAGAAAATACAAAAATTAGTGTAGAAAAATGTCGGATGAGACTTATTTATTAAATTAGAGAATATTTTGCGTTGAATGAAGCGAGATGGATGGAGCGTCAGTGTGACAAAGAGAAAGCTATCTCGCTCAATCTCTGTTTCAATATTTTTAGCATAAAAATGAATTGCTTATAACTTATAATAAACGAATCTCAATCGATATTTTTGTTTGTTTTTGCCTTTAGAATGAAAATCCTCCAAAAATACATTATTACTCTGCATGTTAATAAATTATAATGTTCTGATTCAATATTTGATATTATTGTCCAAATTCAGTTGTCGACCATGGAAATAGAGATTAGATTCTTCACGTTCTGCGGATACACAGTTGCTCAACTAACTCATCTGTTTTTCTTAACGATTATGGGACAGTTTCTTATAAATGCCAACGACGAAATTTTTAAAACAATGTGAGATTTTTATACGTATTGATCGTTAAAATTTGAAATAAATTGAAAAAAGAAAGAAGGTAATAATAGAATCGAATAATAACAATTGAAAATTAATAAAAAAGGAAAAATACTGTGGTAATACATAAATTATCATTTGAAAGCATCATTTCATTGAATGTTTAAGTCACAGGAAAATATTAATTATTACTTGCACTTGGTTTTAATAAATTTACATTCTGCATTATTGAAATTCAACGAGCATTCTAATTTTTATTTCTTTTCCTTTAATATATTTAACGTCGTACTTCCTATGTTCTCGATTGTTCAATCTTTTTCAATTATTTTAAATTGAATATTATATTTCAAAAGATTATGTAAATTTTCATAAGTCATAAAGTGTATACCATACAATAGAATTAACGATTCAATTCATTATATTATGTGCATAGATATGAAGCACATTGGTACAATGGTTCATCGAGAACGCAATCATTATACGTATTGGTACTTCGGAAATGTTTGAGCCCGCCAACATTGACAGGAGGGGGCTTAATTGCTTTGAATTTAGACAGTTTTGTACAGGTGAGCCGGATATATTTTACATAAAATTATATACAAATATTTTGTAACTTTTGATTAAATTACATTAATTTTTTTCCAGATCTTAAAATTATCATTTTCATATTATACCGTATTTAGATCTTAATAAATTGATGATTAATAGATTAACTATATAATATGTAAAGTAGAAAATTCAATTTCTCGATGCAATTATCAGTATTTATATTTATATAATAGTATATTAATTAAGTTGTAGAATTAATTAGGTTTAGTTATTTGTTGTTTCATGCATAAAAGTATATTCATGTTAAACATAAAGAATAGTATCTTTTTTTTCCCTTTCTTTTGTTTTGTTTCCAATATAATATAAAGTGAAAAGTAGCAAAGTTCTGATTATTATAAGATCAGTGGATATTAGAATAAGAAATTTTGATAAATAATAAGTATAGTAAAAAAATATCATTGGTACTCATTTCAAGATGATTTTATGATTTCTTTTTAATTTCGAAATGGATGCAATTTTTTTTATTTTTTGAATTTGTTCCTCGTACAAAAGATATTGTAATAATATCATTATTAATTGATAACAATTTTTAATTTTTATAAAGAAAAATAAAAAGATATTTATATATTTTTGTTTATTGTTTATTGTATTTATAACTTAACAAATTAAAAATCGTGTCATGTAAAAATTTAAAAATACATTTAATTGATTTGTTTTCAGTTACTCACCAGATAATGTACCGATCATAGGTATAACTATTAGAGGATCACTATGAGAGGGCACTATTGTCTGGTTTTGACAAATTTTAAGAGATTTAGTATACATAAGATACAGGATAGATCTAACAATCAATAAGATATTTTGTTTCATATTCTAAAATAATTAAATTCGAATTTCACTGATATTAACTCATGTTCCTCGATTTCTTCTTAATTATTCGATAAGAAATTTATATTTTATGAAACTGCAAAATGGATATCGATAGTTTATTCTTTATAAGTATAAATATAAATCATATGAATTGTCCAAATGTTTCGCTACGACTAAACTATGAAAACCGGCACTGGAAGGTGTAGCATCAATCATTAATTTTTCATTCTCTACGTATAGATCTATCTACGTATAGATTCATCCACTTAGTTCATACAAATTGCTACGTCTCTGAACACTGTATAATATGTTAAGTTCTTGCAATTTTCTTATTAAGAAAAGGAAGAAATACGAAGATAGAAAAAGCTATTATATTATTGCAAAAATATCTTTCCATTTTCCATATAAATTAATCAAATCCATATATCTTTGTGAAAGACAGTATAATCATGCAAATCAATTGTTTGAAAAGATAAAAATTATTTATTGCTATAGAAAACATGCACGTTTACATTTATAACGTCTATCTAACCATGGCAGTTTCTTCATGGACATGAAGACTTATGGTAAACGTTTCCTGAGGATTGGCTAAACAGACAAATAGAGGAAGTCATTGACTATACAAACACACTTGTATTCTCTTTAACCATTCTGTGATAAAATATTATTATTGTTTAACAAGATGGACAAACAAACAATAGAGAATCAATATCTAAAAATGAATAAATTTTTTGGGCAATTAGTTGGCGTGTGGCCTTTTCAAGAAAGATTTACCAAGACTTGCATGCGATTTACTGTATCCGTCATAATACTTCTTGACCTTGCAACGCAGGTTTTACATTAAATTATTATACCATTATATTGTTATATCATATCAATTTTTTTAAAGAATTAATGTGGAGCAATAAATTATTTATATTACAGATATCACGGATAATAATGTTCTACAGCTTTGATGTCTTTTCGGATCAAATACCATACTTGAATGCAGCAATTCTCTGCTTATTCAAGGAATATAACTATGTTTTGAATGAGAATAAAGTGAAAATCTAACATTTTGTTTATTCTTTGGAATTAATATCAATAATCAGTTTTATTAAAATTGCAGCTCAGAGAACTTTTAAGTGACATCATATCCGATCGGTTGATGGTACGATCGAAGAAGGAGTTAGAGATTTTGGAATTGTATTCGAGAAAAGCAACGACGCTCTGCATTCTTTACAAAGGTGATCAACAAGAAATAGAATTTCTTGTATTACAGATATCATAGAACAAAGCAATGACGATTTTTAACACAAATACTTCGTTTTTCGAGAATACGTGGAAGAAAGTGAGAGAAAAGTTTTTGGGAAAAGTTTCAAATTTGAAGATAAATTATAAATTTTTTCTCGTCCATATCTATTTACTTTTTTCTTTTTATTCTACATTTAATTTTCTTTACATTCAGTTATGGTATATTCCTGCGCGTTCATGTTCCTCATCATACCGATTATACCACCTCTTCTGAACATCATCGCGCCTTTGAACGTATCACGAGGCCGTGAATTTATCTATCCAACCTATTATTTCGTAGACGAGGAGAAATATTATTATCCCATATTAATGCATATGATAGCAGCGATAGTGGTACTGTCTTCGATATATCTCGCTTGCGATACAAATTTGGTACAAGTTGTGCACCATGGATGCGCCTTGTTAGCTATCAGTGGGTGGGTATCAAGTATTTATTAAACATCTACTCTTTTCCATCGTTTCTCTGCACGTCTGTTTAGACATCGTACGCTTGAAATTACGTTTAATTAAATTTATTTCGACTGTAATTAATGAATATAGGTATCATTTCAAGCATGCAGTGGATGACGTAAAGATTAGCGACGAAAATTATATCGCTCTAATGGATGAAACTTATGCGAGAGTCAGACATTCCATAAAGGCGCACAAAACAGCGGTCGAGTTAGTATATTGTTGTATATAATTAGTAATATGTATGTAAGAATCCTGCATATCAATTCTTTTATATATATATATATATATATATTATTTTTTTTTTTATTACAACGACATGTTAGATACGTGGATAAAATAGACGCCTGTCACATATATTACTTCTTACTTACCATAGGAATGATAGTATTAGCTTTCACTGGTACTTTCGTAAAGGTAAGTTATGTATCGTTCGTTTAAAACTCACTCGCTCATATAATCTAATGTATGTAGAACATTAATATATATTATATTGCGTATAAAAGTGTCGTGAAACATTTCTGTCAATTCAAAAGAAACGCAAAAGTTGATAATATACAGAGATATTGATATCTACATGTACCTGTTAAGTTGTAATTTTAATTTTCAGTTTTAATTCTTTTAAAAATTAATAATTTACTTTTGGATTATGCATTATTATAATTATAATTTAATAAACGAGCCAATCGATATTTTTATTTGCAAATGTTTTTTCATCGATTTAGAATTCTAGATCTTTCAACGATATATTAATATCTTGTATAAAGAATGAATTATATTATTCTGATTTAATATTTGATATTTATTTTTTAAATTCAGTTGTCGACCATGGAAATGGGGATTAGATTCTGCACGTTCTGTGCATACACTGTTGCTCAACTAACTCATCTGTTTTTCTTAACGATTATGGGACAATTTCTTATAAATGCCAACGAAGAAATTTTCAAAACAATGTAAGGATATTATATGTTCATTTATCAAAGTTAGGAGAGAAATTTGAAATAAGTTAAGAAAAAAATAATAATAAAAAACTGAAATATTTCAAAATTTATATTTTAGGATATTTGATTCAATCATAGGAAAATATTATTTATTATTTGAATTGAATTTGAGTGAAATTTATTGTTTATAATTTTGTGCGAAATTTCACAAGCATTCTATTTTTGATTTGTTTTTGCTTATAATTATATTTAATATAATACTTTATATATTCTTAATTATTCGATCATTAATTATTTTGAATTTGATATTGCATTTGATATAATTACACGAATAATTCTCTTCATAAATGAAAGAAATTTTATTTATTGCACAATAAAATTTCACGATTCAATTCATTATATTGTGTATGTGTATATAGATACGAAGCACGTTGGTACAACGGTTCGTCGAAAATGCAATCATTGTATATACTGGTGCTTCGAAAATGCTTGACTTTTCCAAAACTGACAGGAGGGGGATTGATTACTTTAAATTTAGATAGTTTTGTACAGGTAAATTATTTTTTTTTTTTTTTGCAAAATTATATAAATATTTTGAAGAAACTAACTTTTGATCAAATAACAGTAATTAAATTTTTTTCCAGATTTTAAAAGCATCATTTTCTTATTACACTGTATTTAGATCTTAATAAATTGAAATAACAATATAAAGTAGAAAAATTTCTACGTCCATTTGATATTTGTCGCTAATTATATAATAGTATATTAGTTGTAGATTTGTAGAGTCAACTAGAATTAGTTATTTATTTAATTATATTTTATGCATAAAATATATTCAAGTGTTACATAATATATCATCTTTTGTTTTCTTTCTCTTTGCCTTCGATACAATATAAAAAATTAATTAAAAAATTTATGATTATTGCAGGATCGATGGATTGGAATAAAGAAACTTTTCATAATTTTAGATAAAAAGAATAACAATATTATATTCATTTCAGAACATAATTTGATAACAATTTTTAATTTTTATAATGAATAATTTTAATTTAGTTTATAGACATTGATAATATATAAATAATATTATGTAATCATTTTTTCTATCATTTAGCTTTTTGAGTGAAGATTTTTCGAATATTACACGTAATACATTATCATTTATCACAAAAAATGACAAATTTATATAACATATGCATTCTTTTTTATTAATAACAAGATTGAAGTTTCTCTTATCCCTAATAAAAATTAAAAAAATATATTTAATTCAATTAAATTTAGTTACTCACCAGATAATATATCGACCAGTATAGCTACGATTATCGTATTATGTTTTGAAAATACATGATTTCGAATCCCATTTCAATTTTATTATTAGATAAGAAACTTATGTTTTATCGCAATGTTTCATATAGATATCGACAATATATTCTTCTGTACAAAATATTCTTCCGTACAAAGCAATGAATCATATGAATATCATTATGAATTCACTACGACAAAATATGGAGACCAATACTAGAAAGGTATAGTATCAATCATTAATTTTTTATATCCTACACATAGATTCACTCATCCACTTAGTTCGTACAAATTGCTATATCGTTAGGAATTGTTACATTGAATTAAATAACTAAGTTAAGCTGTTCTTGCAATTTTCTTATTAAGAAAGAAAAGAGAAGACAGAAAAAACCATTACTGTCAGAGAAGAAACCTTTCCATTTTCCTTTCCAGTTATGAATTAATCAAGTCCATATATCTTTGTAAAAGCGACTAATCAAGCGAATCAATTACTTGAAAAGATAAAAGAATTATTTACTGCTACTATTGTATCATAGAAAACACGCGCGTTTACATTTAGATCGTTTGACCATAACAGTTTTCTTGTGGACGTGATAACTTATGGATCGACTGACTGACAAGATAGAATAGTATCATTGAAACAGAAATAGTCGTATTCGATTATTTTTCGATGATTCTATGATAAATTATCGTTTATTAAACATGGACAAGCGAATAATAGAGGATCAATATTTGAAAATCAATAAATTTTTTGGACAGCTAGTTGGTGTGTGGCCTTATCAGCAAAGATTCACCAAGTTTTGCATAAGATTCATTACATCTGTTATAGTGGTCCTTACTCTTGCAGCACAGGTATTATAATTTATATTAGATCATTTATATAAGTAATTTTAAAAAAGTAATTCAAATTAAATTAGGATTTGTCCAACATTTCCTAAATGAAAACTTTTGAAAACAATTCTTTAAAAAGAATTTCTTTTTCAAGAAATACTTCACAACATCGAATAATAATTTTTTTCTTTTTCTTTTTTGCATTAGATATCACGGGTAATAATGTTTTATAGTATAGACGTTTTATCAGATCAATTGCCATATCTGGACGTAGGATTCGTCCTCTTGTTCAAACAGTACAATTATATCCTAAACGAGGATAAGGTGAAAATTTGTAATTTTATTCATTCTACAATCCTTAGGATAATTATCAGTGTCGTTAAAATCGCAGCTCAGAGAACTTTTGAACGAAATTATATCCGATCGGTTGATAAAACGATCGAAGGAAGAGTTAGAGATTTTGGAAATGTATTTAAAAAGAGCAAAAGTGCTTTCCACTGTTTACGAAGGTAACAAACAAAAAATAGAATTTTTTTAGACTGTAAAAATTGATATCACAAGACTTAGTTATGACATATACGACTTTTAATACGAATGTAAAAAAGAGTGAGAAAATTCATTTAAGGAAAAATGTCTATAAAGTATGAAACAATTGTGTTTCATTATTAATTATTTCTTTATTTTTATCATTGATTACTATACTGTTAAAAAATTATAATATCTTATATTGAATATATGCAGCTTATAAAAGATTCTTAATTTTTAGTTTACTATAAAAAAATTTAAATATTTTTAAATATATTTCTAAATACATAATTTTCTGATCCATCTTCTTTTGCAAGTTATTAAATATTAATTAATTGAATCGAAACTAAAAATCAGCAAAATTTTAAGTATCCTATTTGCTCACTCCTTTTCATACATTTCTCACCAATGTCTTCTTATATTTATTCATTTCATTCTATTCCTTTTGAGTTCAGTTAGTATATTTTTCTGCGGCTTCATGTTCCTCCTTATACCAAGTATACCACCTATTTTGAACATCATCTCGCCCTTGAACGTGTCGCGTGGCCGCGAACTAATCTATCCATCTTATTATTTTGTGGATGAAGAGAAATATTATTATCCCATATTAATGCACATGATAGCAGTTGCGTTAATACTGACTTCAGTATACGTAGCCTGCGATACATATTTGGTTTACATCGTACATCATGGATGCGCCTTGTTAGCTATCAGTGGGTGAGTACTGGTATTCGTTAATCGTTCTTTATATCCCTTACATCTCACAATTTGTTCCTTTTTTTCTGTAAAAGATTACGTTTCGACTTAAGAATTTTGACTGTAATCAATGAAAATGAACGTAGGTATCGTTTCAAGCACGCGGTGGATGACATTAAGCTTTGTGGAGAAGATTACATTGACTCGTTAATGGATGAAACTTACACGAAAGTTAGACAATCCATTAAAGCACACAAAACAGCCGTTGAGTTAGTATTGTTGCATTAGTAATATAAATATCAACTACACATCAGCTATTTTATTTATATTTTTTCATTACGATCTACGTGCAAAGATACGTGGATAAAATAGATGCCTGCCACATACATTACTTCTTACTTATCATAGGAATGATAGTATTAGCTTTCACCGGTACTTTCGTAAAGGCAAGTTCAAGACATTCATTAAGACTCATGCATATACAGAATGATATACGTAGTGCTATATAAAGTATATAATAGTATATAAAGATACTTTTGAAAGATTGATTCTAGAAGCCAAAACGATATAAAAGTGGATATTTAAAATTCGCGTTGGATGAAGCGAGAGGGAAATAGAAAGAGACAATCCGTATAATATAACAACTTTTGGTTGTTTCTGCTTCTACAATCAATTCTCCAAGGATATAATTAATACCTTATATTAATTTGTAATTTAATTACAGTTGTCATCGATGGAAGTGAATGTCAGGTTTTTCACGTTCTGCGCATTCACTGTTGGCCAGTTGACACATCTGTTTTTTTTAACGATTATGGGACAGTTTCTGATAAATGCCAACGACGAAATTTTCAAAACAGTGTGAGATTATTACACGTGTCGATTGTTAAATCTGAAGAAAATATATTAATATTTACTGCTTGCTTTGGATAAAATTATATATTGAAATTCAAGGAACATTTTATTTTATTTTTTTTTTTTCCTTTTTAATCAAAGAAAATATTGTCGTACAATCGAATTTCGCGATTCAACTCATTACACTGTGTTTATGTACGTAGATATGAAGCGTATTGGTACAATGGTTCGTCGAGAACGCAATCGTTGTATATACTGGTACTACGAAAATGTTTGAGCCCGCCAAAATTGACAGGAGGAGGATTGGTTGCTTTGAATTTGGACAGCTTTTTACAGGTGAGCTGATATTTTTTTTATATAAAATTAGATAAACGTTAAAAAAAAAACATTTCCAGTTAAGTATAACATTGATTGAATTCTTTTCAGATCTTAAAAGCGTCATTTTCATACTATACCGTATTTAGATCGTAATAAATTGATGAAATAATGATAAAAAATAAAAAATTCGAAGAATTTGATAATGTATATGCAAATTAATCGGTAAGATGTATGTACTTGTTACGTCATATCCCAATGGGATTATTTGTTGTTGTTATGCATAAAATATATTCAAGTGTTAAAATATAAGATATGATATATTTGTTTTTTTTTTCTTTTTTTGCCTTCAATACTGTTTTCAACTGAAAAATAGCAAAATGATTATTATTGTTGAATTGGAATAAGGAATTTTTTTTTTAATTTTGGATAAGTGATACGAACAGTAAGAATTGATCATTGGTATTCAGGAAAAATGATTTCAAAATTTTTTGTTCATTTAAAAATGAATATAATATTTATTCTTTATCTATTATATCATTATCTAGTACGAAAAATAGTAAACTTATATAAAATTTAAGAAACAAGATTAATGAAAAATTATAACTAACAAATTGAAAATCATAATACGTCTATTTTTTATGCCTAGTAAAAATTTGAAAATTTATTTAAAATTAGTTACTCACCAGGTAATTTATCGACAATAGTTATAGCTATCATTTTAAGAGGGCTCTATCATCTGATTGTAAGATACTTCTGTCTATTTGAATGAATCTTCTTGTATAATAATTTTTAATAGAATTTAAATTGTTCTTTACGTAATCTAAATAAAGAATTTATTTTCACAATGTTTTCAATAGATTTTATTTGAATTCTTATTATTAAATAATCTTTTATTCCGTAAATTTTTAAATTTTTGTAGATAATATTTTAAAAATATCGATATATAATACATTTTTTAAAATAATTTTTAAAAATAATATTAATTTTTTTTATAATTGATATATCTACAATAAAAATTAATAATATAATATTTTTGAAAGATTTTAAAATTAATTATAAGTAAATACTATCAAAGCAATGAAAAAGATTCGTCTATGATATTAAACAACTCAATCTGAAACTGAAATTATAATTAAAAAAAACACAGTTTCATGATAACAAATAAAAAAACAAAAACTCAATATATAGGAAATTTAAATTATAATTAATTATTAATAAAAGTTGGCAAATCACAAATAAGAAGTTATCAATATTAAAAATTTTTTTGTATAATAATAATAAATTTTGCAGGCAAATTTTACAAATTATATAAATGAATTGAATATTTTCATGAAAATTCTTTTGATTATCTAATAGTTGAAAAAAATATCTTGATCTTTCACTTCAATTCTTTATAATTTTTAAAATTTTACATTATATCGATTTGATAGTATCCCGCACAGCGTTAAGAACAGACTGACGAGAAATTCTGTTGTAAAAGAAGGACACGAAGAGAGTATCGATTATTCAATTTGGTTAGTTGTGTTCCTATGGGTTTTATTATAGACGATTAACAATCGAAGTTGCTGATCAGTAAACTCTTTAACTAATAACGAGTGAGAAAGAAAAAAAGAGACGTACTAAAAGATGCAGCACACAATGATGCAGAAATTCTTACGATACCTTCCAATGGCAGAATTTTCCTGTGAAAATGAACTGGTTAAGATTGGCACTGAACGAGGTAACGATTAACTTCATTAATATTTAAGAGAAACCTTCTATATCACTTTACTGAACCGCTTCTCCCTATCACGGAGGAATCATTCAGCCAATAAAAAAAAAAACTATAATGATGCCATTATACACAATTTTGTCAAATACCGTTTCAATATTTAATGTAAATCAAGGATTGTCATATCCACCATTTTACTTGACCATAAGCGACAATGGAAATTTTACATTCGTCTAAAGAATTATTCAGTGAAATACTTCACGGCACGAAGGAAGGCTATAAGAATTATCGAAGACAAAAAGAACAATGGTTTTTCTTTTTCGGGTAGCATTTGTGTTGTTCTGATCATGGACGCGGGAACAGTTGAAAAAAATTTTTTGAAAGTCAATAAAATATTCGGATTAATAATCGGTGTATGGCCGTACCAGAATTATCGGTTGAAAATGGCGGAACGATTCATAAGTATCACGGTGATGATGAGTAGTTTCGTAACACAGGTATGATCGATGATAATGATTTCGACTCAATTTTGGTTTTATTATTGTAAAATTAAAATTCTATTTAACTCTACAATGATACATTATTTTTTGGAATGACACATCGAAGGTTTCTCACATTGAGGATAATTAAAATACATTCAAAGAAGAATACAAGTTTTACATTTATTATTTAATTAATAATAATTATATATGAAAACGAATATCCTGTGTTGAAGAATTAATAATCATTAATTAAAATGACAATCAAGAATTATGCATCTTACATCTTAGCTTCTTATAAATTTTTTAATTTTATCATCTGTAATTAACGTATTCAATTTTTCCAAAAAAATAATTATCTTGCTTTCATAATTTACAGTAAGACATAAATAATTGTAAATTTCAAAATAAATATTATTAAGAAATATTTGCAACATTATTTCATTTTGCTGTCTATTATATATTCTCTTGGTAATTAATATAACGTTTAATTGGTTCAATTTATATGTAGAAAATATTTATAATAGTAGTTTTATAATTACAGGTTGCACATATTGTATTGAATCCTACTATAGAGAAAGTAGCAATGAACTTGCCTTATTCTATAGCATCGTTTGGAACATTTGTAAAAATGGGTAATTACTTTTTGGATGAAACTAAGGTGAGGGGATATGTTCGACATTTACTTAACACATTGTGAATGATATTTAAATCACTCTTGCTAGATTTTTTTACTCATAAGTTTTCTTTACAATAATTCTTCGATAGAAGGGATATCAACTTTTTTGGTCTCTAGAATTTCCAAAGGTTTTACGAATATTTTAACATTTCTGTATATACTATAATATTTCAATAATTTTAAATATAACTTTGATACATTTTAATATGTCATGTTCCATCTATAAAAATTGCAGTTGATAACAATATTGAATCACATATTCGAAGATTGGGCGGCGATAAAAACCAAAGAAGAATACGAGATTATGTACAAATACTCACGAAGAGGATTGTTCATCACGATAAGTTATTTTCGTAAGTGCATTATAGAACATTGGTATATCTGAATTAAAATAAATCCTCTCAGATGATCAGTTAGAAAATATGCATCAATTTAAATACTAATGTACTCGTTTCGTGTTCGGACTATCGAAATTCAAGTGAATATTCTACTTTAAATTTAATTTTATCCTATTATCCTGCTTTCGAGCAAGATTCACACGGAACATATTTAATACAGTTTCTCTGAAAACGTGTACCTGGTGATTCATAAAATTTCAATCGATTTCCATATTGTACTTTTATAGTGCACATTGGTGTTACTGAAATATTTATGCTTATGTGGCCCATGGTACCGCCCATTCTGGACATCATCATGCCATTAAACGTGTCACGGAAACGTATACTCTTGTACCCGGCTTATTTCTGGTTGGATGACGAAAAATACTACGTGCTTTTACTAGGACACATGATAATCGCCATACTCATGACCTGCTTTATATTTTGCGCCTGTGATACGAACTATGTATATGCTGTACAGCATGCATGCGGTTTGCTGGCAATCGCGAAGTACGAAAATTCATTAATCCGCGGAATGATTAATATAACGAATTATTATTACGAAAATTATATTTCTTTTTATTTAGATATCGGTTTAAAAATGTATGCAAAGATTTGAACGACAAAGAAAATCATGCGATGCCATTAGAGAAAATCAAGTATAAAAGTATATGCGAATCGATCAAGGCGCATCAACACACTTTGAAGTAAGTACATTTATGAATATTTTTAATTTTTGTCTTATTTTGAACACGAGTTTTGAATCTGTATTAATATTGTTTAAAAATTCGTTTAAAAAAGTAAGGAAAGACCGCTCGTCTTTTTTTTGTGTGTAAAATCCTTTGTCTTTATCTATTTGTTTATCTTTTATAAAATATATACATATATATGATAAATTATACAATGAAAAAAGAAAATATAACGTTATGAAATTTTTCACAGACTAATTTATTTTTAAAATAGATATCTGAAGCTAATCGAAAATAGTTACCATACGTATTTATTCATTTCTTTGGGGTTGCTGATAATGGCTATTAGCGTGTCGTTATTAGAGGTATAATAATATTTCAATATACGTAACGAAACATTTTTCTTAACACATTATTCTGCATGATTACTTTAATAGATTGCTTTCAGGTGGCAAATGGTTCGAGAAAATTAGTGCAAGCCACATATTTGTTCGCTCAATTATTCCACACATTCATTCTCACTGTGCAAGGGCAGTTCGTGATAAACGAATTACAAGATGTTTACGAGTCTATGTGAGTAAACGAAAAATATTAATTTTTGCTAAGACAATTGTATCATAAGAAAAAAATGTTGCAAATCCTCGTCCACTGTTTCTTATTTCTTTTAATGCAAATACTTGTAGATACGAATCGCCATGGTACACTTTTTCACCTAGAATTCGATCGTTATATGTATTGTCGTTGAGAAGTTGCCTAAATTTTCCCACGTTAACAGCCGGTGGTCTGATCGTACTGAATTTGCAATCTTTCGCAGAGGTAATACATAAGAAAGTTGTTGTTTAAATAAAAATATTTGTACGAATGGAATTTCCATTTTCAGATAATCAAAGCAGCTGTTTCCTATTATACAGTAATGCAAACGACCTAATAACGATGTATACGTACGTATATAACGATTGGAATATTATATACAGGATGTTAATATGTTTGTAGAATTTTATTATTTTATTATTTTATTATTTAATAAATAAGCCTTAATTAAATCGTGTGTATTGATTCTATCAATATTTTAAACTATAAGATAAAGGTATCCAATAAATATATTAATATTCTATATTTTCATGTACTTATATGAAATTCACATCGATATAAAATAAAAATCTAAAAAATAGCAAAATTATGATTATTATTATTGAATTGAAATAAGGAATTTTTCTTTTTAATTTTAGATATGTGATAAAAACCGTAAGAATGTCATTGATATTCAGAAAAAATGATTTCAAAATTTCTTGTTCTTTTAAAAATGAATGTAATATTTATTCTTTATCTATTACATCATCATCTAGTACGAAATATAGTAAACTTATATAAAATGTAAAAAATAAGATTAATGAGAAGTTATAATTAACAAATTCTATTATGTCTGTTTTTTATGCCTAGTACAAATTTGAAAATTTATTTGAAATTAGTTACTCACCAGGTAATTCATCGACAATAGTTATAGCTATTTTTATTTTAAGAGGAATCTATTCACTGATTGTAAGATACTTTTATCTATTTGAATGAATCTTCTTGTATAATAATTTTTAATAGAATTTAAATTGTTCTTTACGTAATCTAAATAAAGAATTTATTTTCAATAGATTTTATTTGAATTCTTATTATTAAATAATCTTTCGTTCCGCAAATTTTTACATTTTCATAGATAATATTTTAAAAATATCGATATACGATACATTTTTTAGAATCAATTTTTAAAAATAATATTAATTCTTTTTATAATTGATATATGCAATAAAAATTAATAATATAAAATTTTTGAAAGATTTTTAAAGGTATAAATAATTAATATCAAAGCAATGAAAAAGATTCGTGTATATGAAATTAAGCAATTCAATCTAAAACTGGAAATTATAATTAAAAAAAATACAGTTTCATAGTAACAATTAAAAAAACAAAAACTCAATATATTGAAATTTAAATTACAATTAATTATTAATAAAACTTGGAAAATCACAAATTAGAAGTTATCAATATTAAAAAATTCTTTTGTATAATAATAATAAATTTTGCAAGTAAATTTTACAAATTATATAAATGAATTGAATATATTGATGAAAATTTTTTTGATTATCTAATAGTTGAAAAAAATATCTCGATCTCGCAGTTCGATTCTTTATAATTTTAAAATTTTACATTGTGTTGCTTTCATAGTATCCCACACAGACAGCGTTAAGAACAGACTGACGAGAAATTCGTTGTAAAAGAAGGACACGAAGAGAGTATCGATATCGATTATTCAATTTAGGTAGTTGTGTTCCTATGAGTTTTATTATTGACGATTAACAATCGAAGTTGCTGATCAGTTAATTCTTTAACTAATAACGAGTGAGAAAGAAAAAAAGAGACGTACTAAAAGATGCAGCACACAATGATGCAGAAATTCTTACGATACCTTCAAATGGCAGAATTTTCCTGTGAAAATATGAACTGGTTAAGATTGGCATTGAACGAGGTAACGATTAACTTTATTAATATTTAAAAGAAACCTTTTACATCACTCGTGAACCGTTTCTCCCTATCACGAAGGGAATCATTCAGCCTAATAAAAAAAAAAACTATAATGATGCCATTATATACAATTTTGTAAAATACCGTTTCAATATTTAATGCAAATCAAGGATTGTCATATCCACCATTTTACTTGACCATAAGCGATAATGGAAATTTTACATTCGTCTAAAGAATTATTCAATGAAACACTTCACGGCACGAAGGAAGGCAATAAGAATTATCGAAGACAGAAAGAACAATAGTTTTTCTTTTTCGGGTAGCATTTGTATTGTTCTGATCATGGACGCGAGAACAGTGGAAAAAAATTTTTTAAAAGTCAATAAAATATTTGGATTAATAACCGGTGTATGGCCGTACCAGAATTATCGCATGAAAATGGCGGAACGATTCTTAAGTGTCACGGTGATGATGAGTGGTTTCGTAACGCAGGTATAATCGATGATAATGATTTCGACTCAATTTTGGTTTTATTATTGTAAAATTAAAATTCTATTTAACTCTATAATAACACATTATTTTTTTGAATGACACATCGAAGGTTTCACACATTGAGGATAATTAAAATACATTCAAAGAAGAATACAAGTTTTACATTTATTATTTAATTAATAATAATTATATATGAAAACGAATATCCTGTGTTGAAGAGTTAATAATCATTAATTAAAAAGACAATCAAGAATTATGCATTTTAACTTCTTATGAATTTTTTAATTTTACCATCTGTAATTAACGTATTCAATTTTTCCAAAAAAATAATTATCTTGCTTTCATAATTTAGAGTAAGACATAAATAATTGTATATTTCAAAATAAATATTATTATTAATAAATATATGCAACATTATTTCATTTTTCTACCTTATTAATTAATATAACGTTTAAATGTCTCAATTTATGTGTAGAAAATATTTATAATAATTGTTTTATTAATTACAGTTTGCATATCTTGTATTGAATCCCACTATAGACAAAGCAGCAACGAACTTACCTTATTCTATAGCATCGTTTGGAACATTTGTAAAAATGGGTAATTACTTTTTGGATGAAACTAAGGTGAGGGGATATTTTCGACATTTACTTAACACATTGTGAATGATATTTAAATCACTCTTGCTAGATTTTTTACTCATAAGTTTTCTTTACAATAATTCTTCGATAAAATGGATATCAATTTTTTTGGTCTCTAGAATCTCCAAAGGTTTTTACGAATATTTTAACATTTCTGTATATACTATAATATTTCAATAATTTTAAATATAACTTTGATACATTTTAATATGTCATGTTCCATCTATAAAAATTGCAGTTGATAACAATATTGAATCACATATTCGAAGATTGGGCGGCGATAAAAACCAAAGAAGAATACGAGATTATGTACAAATACTCACGAAGAGGATTGTTCATCACGATAAGTTATTTTCGTAAGTGCATTATAGAACATTGGCATATCTGAATTAAAATAAATCCTCTCAGATGATCGGTTAGAAAGAACCGAAAATTTATAAATGCAATTAGACTTTAACAATTTTCAAATACGAATATTTATCACGTAAAAAAATAAATATCCCGTAAGAGAAAGATAGATATCCGCAATATAAATATTTTCAGATATTAATAATTTAAATACTCGTTTCGTGTTCGAACAATCGAAATTCAAGTGAACATTCTACTTCAAGTTTAATTTTATCCTATTATCCTGCTCTCGAGGAAGATTCACGCGGAACATTTAATACAATTTCTCTGAAAACGTGTTCCTGGTGATTCATAAAATTTACAATCAATTTTCATATTGTACTTTTATAGTGCACATTGGTATTACTGAAACATTTATGCTTATGTGGCCCATGGTACCGCCCATTCTGGACATCATCATGCCATTAAACGTGTCACGGAAACGTATACTCTTGTACCCGGCTTATTTCTGGTTGGACGACGAAAAGTACTACGTGCTTTTACTAGGACACATGATAATCACCATACTTATGATCTGCTTTATATTTTGCGCCTGCGATATGAACTATGTGTATGCTGTGCAGCATGCATGCGGTTTGCTGGCAATCGCGAAGTACGAAAATTCATTAATCCGCGGAATGATTAATATAACGAATTATTATTACGAAAATTATTTTCTTTTTTTATTTAGATATCGGTTTAAAAATGTATGCAAAGATTTGAACGACAAAGAAGATCATGCGATGCCGTTAGAGAAAATCAAGTATAAGAGTATATGCGAATCGATCAAGGCGCATCAACACGCTTTGAAGTAAGTACATTTATGAATATTTCCGGAATATTTTTGTTTTTTGTCTTATTTTGAACACGAATTTTGAATCTGTATTAATGTTGTTTAAAAATTTAATTGAAAAAATAAGGAAAGATCGTTCATCTTTTTTTTTGTGTGTAAAAAAATATCTTTTAAACATCTTTATCTATTTGTTTATACTTCATTAAATATATGATCATTTATACAATGAAAAGAGAAAATATAACGTTATGAAATTTTTCACAGACTAATTTACCTTTAAAATAGATACCTGAGGCTAATCGAAAATAGTTATCATACGTATTTATTCGTTTCTATGGGGTTGCTGATAATGGCTATTAGCGTGTCGTTATTAGAGGTATAATAATATTTCAATATACGTAACGAAACATTTTTCTTAACACATTATTCTGCATGATTACTTTAATAAATTGCTTTCAGGTGGCAAATGGCAAAAATGGTTCGAGAAAATTAGTGCAAGCTACATTTTTGTTCGCTCAATTATTCCACACGTTCATTCTCACCGTGCAAGGGCAGTTCGTGATAAACGAATTACAAGATGTTTACGAGTCTATGTGAGTGAACGAAAAATGTTAATTTTTGCTAAAACAATTGTATCATAAGAAAGAAATGTTGCAAATCCTCGTCCACTGTTTCTTATTTCTTTTAATGCAAATACTTGTAGATACGAATCGCCATGGTACACTTTTTCACCTAGAATTCGATCGTTATACGTATTGTCGTTGAGAAGTTGCCTAAATTTTCCCATATTAACAGCCGGTGGTCTGATCGTATTGAATTTGCAATCTTTCGCAGAGGTAATACATAACAAAAGTTGTTGTTTAAACAAAAATATTTGTACGAATGGAATTTCCATTTTCAGATAATCAAAGCAGCTGTTTCCTATTATACAGTAATGCAAACGACATAATAACGATGTATGTATACGTACGTATATAACGATTGGAATATTATATATAGGGTGTTAATATGTTTGTAGAATTTTATTATTTTATTATTTTATTATTTAATAAATAAGCCTTAATTAAATCGTGTGTATTGATTCTATCAATATTTTAAACTGTAAGATATGCCATAAATATATATTAATATTCTATATTTTCATGTACTTATATGAAGTTCACATCGATACAAAATAAAAATCTAAAAAAAATAAAAATTACCAAAGTTTATTTTCAATCTATGTAGAAATGCATATATCATATTAAAATGTTAAATTAGAAGAAGTTCAGTGTTTTAGAAAGTACATTTACTAAAACTTTATTAATAACTATAAAAAAAGAATTCTTCTTTTTAAATAAAAAAACTGTAATTTTTTAATTATTATTGCAGTAAATGAACTATTCTATTCCTATGAAATCAAATATCATACTATTAAATTCGTGTTACTTCATTCCAATCATATTCTGCTATCAGAAATAATTAAAAAAAAGTTAATACTTACAAGTTTTGCTTGCAAGATCTATTAGATCTGAGCTTCTCACGAATATAAAGAGAAGCGTTATCGACAAATTCTATTCACAATTTTTATATAAAAACACTTAATAAATAACAATATAAATATAATACATCTACAAAATGTAAATGTAAATGTAAAAAAATTTAATCGAGCGCGAACATAGTAGCATTGTTTGGAAGAAATTAATTATAGAGAAAATAAACATGTCTATCAAAAGATGAATATTTTCTTAGAATTCGCCAATTTGTTCTTCATGACATTTCTAAATGGAGTGTAATTACGCGAATTGCATTATTTCTCTATACGCCACTAAAAACTGGATGTGCCACGATCGATTCACAAGTGGTAAGTAAGTTTCGTTCGCAACGTGTATTTGCTTTATATCGGCGCAACCATATACTTACGTTTAAATGCGATTGAAAAGAGGTTGCCTATTCTGCTAGGGATTAAAATTTGTAAATGGAAACGTATGCGTTGTAACAAACATGCATTTTATCAATTTTCAGAATAGATGCAATTTCAATTCAAAGATATGAATTATTGATTCGCGTTAAAACGTGCATTTATCTTTGAGGTCTGGCTTGGTCTATAGAATCATCGAAACGATTAATAAGAGTATTTCTAGCGGCTTCTTCCTCCATGCTTCACTCGGCTCAGTCTAGATTCTACCATGGATTTGGATATGTTGGAGAAGCGATTCCTAAAGATCACGAAAAGATTCGCGAAGTTAGGCGGTATTTGGCCCGATCAAAATAAATATCTCAAATGCATTTCGTGGATTTTTATATACGTTATTAATATACCTTCTGTTGTTGTGCAGGTGACCAGGTGTTTGTTCATATTTTATGTGTATTTCTTGTGAGAGGAAATTCTACGAAAATTATTTCGCGAATGATCACGAAGAATTCGTAAAAGATTAATATAACTATTACTACTTAATATAATATTTAAAAATAAAATAGTTAAAAATATTACATATAATTGGTTAAAGTTAAGATATATATTATAAAGATAATTGGCTGTATAAAATTGTGTTTCTGGTTGAATAAAAATTAATATTAATTTTTGCCAAAAGCACTTTCACTGTTTTTAATAAAAACAGAAAATTCAATGCAACGTTAATTAATTATTAAGAAGTGGAAATATTTGAATTTATATTTTCGATTCTGCTATGAGTGATTATTAACTAGAAAATAGAAAAGGAAAAAGATAAATTAGTACGAAATAAAAGGAAATTATTTAAGATGTACGTTTCTTTGTATATTAAATAAATTTGTGTAATTCGATAGCTAAAAGGATATACAATTTTTATAATAAAAATCATTTTTTAGACCATGATCCATTTAAATAAAATATTCTGTACATCAATCATATCAAATATTTGAATCTCTTTTGTCTCCTTAGTGATTCTGCTATAAAATTTTTAAGAAAATTTCAATTTAATTCAGCTTTGATTTTAGGTAGCAAGGATTGTACATATGTCTACTATAAACGTGATAGTAGAGCAATCAAGTATAGCAACTGCGATATTCCTGTTGCTATTAAAAGAGACTAATTATATTTTGAATGCAACGAAGGTGAGAAGACGCTTAGCAATTAAAGTTATCTTTTTAGTTTAAAATAAATTTGAATAAATTGCAGGTTAAATCTTTGTTCAACGATATGTACATAGATTGGACAATGGACCGACCGAAAGAGGAAATTGAGATTATGTCAACATATGCCCAAAGAGGATCTTTTCTTGCAACGTTCTATTTTTGTGAGTCGATTCATATTTCCAAAATTTCATCGTAATTTTAATTCAAATGATTAAATATAAGAAACATATTTTACTTATGACACGAAAATGGCCTCATGGAATTGAAAGAAAAGAATAAATTACGAACAATTAATTATTTTATTTTATAATTCAATGTAATTTGTGTACAATAGAATTAACGATATATCTGCAATTCTCATTAAATGCATATCATTGAAAATTTATTAAAATTTTCAAAATTATATTATAGTTTAGGATTTACAAATTATCTTTTACATAACGAATCAACAACAAATAATCCCTTAAAAATATATACAAATATTTTATTTCATTATATCCTCTGATTATTCAGAATTGAGACAACTGCTTATATTGATATAAAAAATAACTTTTAAACAATCAACACTTCAGAATCATTTTACTGTGATATATTTTTCTCTCTTCTTTCCTTAAAATATTGAAGTAACTATTTTGAAAGCAGCAAAAGAATAAATTATAAATCAGTTAAAAAATTAATTTCCAATTCAATTTATCTCCATTCAATATCTTCTTTTCTTTCAATGCATTCCTCATTCTTCTTCAACGTGTATTTTTAAAAAGAATATTAATTCTTTTCCAATTTATGAATCATTCTCTCTTGGATGATGGATTACATTCATATTGGAAAATTATGAAAAATTTACTTCCAGTAAACTCATTCTTTTGCGCACTTTTATTCTTGCAAGTGCCATGGACAGCTCGTTTGTCGTACATGATAAAATCACAAAACACGTCCCCGCCTATGTTAAACGTCGTACCGGGTTACTATTTCGTCGAGGATGATCACGACTATTATTACTTCATCCAACTGCACATGAGCCTTTCGATAATCACAGTGCTCATCGTGTACGTCGGATATGACACTTGTTACATGGTGTTCGTGCAGCATGTTTGCGGATTGTTTGCCGTGGCCGGGTAAGTAAATTTTAATATCACTTTCCCTTGCAAAATGTTCAAAATTTCGTTCAACGAAGATGGATGGTTCTTCAGATATCGCTTCAAACACGCGATCGATGATTCTGCTTCGAAGAATTCCGAAGAAAAGACAGAGATGTGTAAAAGAATACGTTCTTCTATTCAAGGACACGAACAAGCTATAAAGTTCTATTTCCATTTCTATTTTTATTTATATTTTACCTTTACGTGCAATCAGTTACAGAAATATTTGTACTCTGCATTTTTATGGAATAAAAATTAAATTTTTTCAGTTTTTTACAATTTTTTTTTTATTTTTAATGGAACTATGTAGCTGGATTCACTTAAACTAGTACGAGATAAAATAAAATTTTAAATTGTAAAATGTTTAATTTTTAATGCTTTGAAAAATATCTATCTGAAATTGTTTTCAAAATTGAAAACGTGTTAAAATTTTTGAGAATTGATTTCAAAAAGTTGCATCACGTGTAATTCATGTTTTACGTATGTATAAACTTTTAATGAAATCGGAATTTTTTCCAGAATTTTCTTGTATAATGTACGAATATTTTTGTGATTCTATATTCATTAATGAATTAAATGCCAAAATTGAAGTATATTAATATATCAAGTAAAAGTATTAATCTTCGATCATTATGAATTCGAAACAGGTATTTAAAGAAAATCGAGGATGCACATGTTAATTTACTTTTTATATCTTTGGGTCTGATAATCATATGTTTTAGTATCACGTTGCTGAAGGTAAATTTAATTGAATTTTATTTCACTTATACGGTTGAACATGATCGATGATTATTCGAAATTACTCTTGATCATTCGAAATTATAGGTCGTTACGATGGACTATTGTTTGGATTTTTATAAATATTTCAGCTTTTTAATGATTCAATTGATACATTTGTGCTACGTGATGATTCAAGGACAATTCGTGATAGATTCGTGCAACGAGATTTACTGTTCAATGTAAGTAATTACGATAGAATTTTCTCTAATCTGTGAATCCTTTCTGACAATGATATTCTTTCTTTTCATGGTATAAAATTTTTCTTGTTTCATTTTCTAATTTATTCTATAAATGACTTACAGATACGAAGCGTCATGGTACGATATCAGTCCAAAAATACAAGCGTTATACATATTAGCACTGCGAAGAAGTCTAACTCCACCTCGTTTAACCGCTGGTGGTTTAATAGAATTGAATATGCAAACTTTCTTAGAAGTATATATATATATATATTTAGAATTAATAATATTCTCGAATAATTACAAAATCATTGAAACAATATTGGTATTTTCAGGTAATAAAACTATCTGTTTCGTATTATACAGTATTAAGATCGACGTAAAGAAAAAAAAAAAATTATATAAAATATTTATGCGATGAAATGATGGATGTTATTCAGAATGATATATGTTATCGATATCACTATAATTATAAAAAATACATATATAATATATGTAAATATAATATATATATAATATATAATATACGTAATTATACAAATAAAAAAGAGGTATAAAAAGAAAGATAGTTTTATATTCATTTATATGTTTAGTATACGAATTCACTTAATGAATTATAAAATAATCATAATAAATTAAATATTTCAATGTTTTTAATCTATAAAATAATTAAAAAGTATTAAGAGCACTTATAAAAGCTCACGCATTAAAAAGAAAATTGAATTATTTTTTATCATTGTTGGTAAGATATTAAACTAAATATAATTTCCAATGCAATATAAAATAAAAATATGTAAAATTAAATTCAATCGAAACGATGTCCATTTCTAAAAATAGGAGTTCTGAAAAAGTTTTGTATCATGTGTTTCGTATATTACAATATATAAATTTAATACCACTTGAGTGAATAATTTCATTAAAAATAATTATTCTCTTAAATATTTTTCATAATAGCAGAAGTTGATATCGCTATTATCACCACGAAAGGTATAATTATTACTTCTGAAAACAAGTCGAATTATTCACGTATGTATGCATATGATCGAATGCTTATTAATCTCGCTACAAAATATTAACCTGGAATCTGGACCGTGGGAGTAGGTCAGCTTAAACGTGCACAAAGCTCGGGGCACTTTCTCACAGAGGGAGCACAGACAAATATCTTTCAAGCTATTCACGGCTCGATGAAGAAGATAACGATACGAAAATCCGTATAGATTCTTCAACTCTTCTTTTCTTCAAATTCCATTTACCAATCAATTTTATTCGAAGTTATATTCACGTTTCCAAATAATCGCCATTGCCATAAATTTATATAAATTTAATTAATACACGAATACTTTTTGCGATTTTTAACAGGAAGAAACATGGTTTTGATGGTTCTCCTTCAAATGGAGAAAAATCATATCGATGAACGTGCACATCATTTTTTGTATCAATCATTAATAAGATAGTTAAATAATTCCATCCGGATATTTTAAAGGTTTAGTACATTTAACAAGGAAGAATAAGAAGAGAATTAAATCGCCTATTTTTTCCCAGGAGGATCGCTGTAACAGCAGACACGTAGCAACTTGTTTCCAATAAATATTACATGAAGAAATGAAAACGAAGTATCACAAAAAATTTGCTCCTTCACATATAGTTTACACCATTCTCGATTTTATCATAGAGAAAGCCAGTTAGAAAAAAAGTACACGAAATGGATCAAGATTTGCATCACATTATGCGAAATTTGGCCTGATTTCAGCAAAATTGAAAGTGCAAAAATATTGAAAAGGTAAAAAGTTTCTTTCTATCCATATATTATACAAAATGGTAAAATATATCCCTAAATGATTAAATTGTTATGCAAAAATATATAAATAATCTATCTGCATAAGTTCGTCCATCAGTAAATCAACTTAACAAATACTTATTCCACATTTCTTTTTCTAATTTTTAAGAAAATATTAAGCAAGACTACGTACTAAGATTTACAAAGCATTCAATTCCAAAAAAAAAAACAACAACAAAATCTGAATTTCCAAATCAGAGAATACGAGAGAACCCTCGATTTCTTCTAGTATCATCCCTGTTGCTCGCTATCTCCCCTTTACATGCTCGAAAGAAAGCACAAAACATTCTCTTCTGCATCCACGGCGATCGTGTACCGCGTTTCTAAATCAACATGAATAATGATTTCAATTACCATCGTTCTTTTTTCGCTCCCCCGTTTTGCGGAAGCGGGTTTCGGTGTCTTATTACTCTCGTTACAAGCACCCGCTTGTATTCAAGGCCGTGGGATCGGGCCAGATCGTAGCGACCTTGCGGCCACACTCGAGCCTAGTAACCGCGATTAGACGTGACTATCGTTGGAATCGTTTCAGCCTCCTGGGCCAGGAAGAAGGAAGAGGAGGAGGAGGAGGAGACGAGCGAAGGAGGATGAGAAACGAGGAAAGACACCGATGATGGAGCTTCCTCGCGATGTCGTCCAGGAAAAACAGGCCGAGGCGACCTGGAACTGGAGGAGGAATTCGTCTTCGGGATCGAGCCGGTTGCATTGCGCTTTGGCGCGGCTCTCTTGTGAACCAGGTCAACGATGACTCAGTTCTGACAGCGGACAATAGTTTTATTAAGAGACAATAGGGTATAGGATTGATCTATGACGCGTTTTGCATACAGCGTGGTAACGTGGCCGATCGGAAGGATGCAATTGAGCCTCGAACAGCGAGTGAGTTATTATTGTTTCCTGCTCGTAAGTATACATGTTGGGAAATCGATTGGCGTCTATGAAATGCGATGGATTTTTATCGAGGAATTTTATTTTTAATAAAAAGGGAAAGGAACGCGAGGAGAGAGGAAGATTTGTGAGAAAAATTGTATCCGTTGCAAAAGTTGGAAACAAATTTTTCATTTGTCCAATTTCAAATATCATTTTAAAGAGTGAATAGTTTATAATTTTGGTTCAAAGTTTGCGATATTTCATTATTCGTACCCTCTCCTCTCATGCAAATCGCGTCAAGAATTTTAAATGCGCATCGAGGGATGTTTAAACAGGGTCGAGCGAAGGAAATTAATCATTTCGATTGAAAACCACCCCTCGAGGGACTTGCCGAAGGGAAATAAATTCGTCGCCATTAAACGTACGACACCCTCCCTCTAACGTCTCCTCTAATCTTCTTTTTTATCCCATCGTCACGTGCCTCGGCTATCGTTACAGCTGCGCCCATTATGCGAGGCGATGCCATCCATTGAAAACCGAACTTAATCCAGCCAGGACAACCGTTCCGATATTCTCGTTCCATTACTCTTCATCTCGACAGTCCCGGTACAATGAGCTATCACCTTTCAACCCGCAGATCGATGATCTTCACCACCGAACGACACAACCTATACTCCGCATTAACATTCAGAGTATCGATCTCATTTAAGCACAAATCGAAACGAACGATTTCGAAACAAGCGATCGAGTTTCTCGACTCGTCGGTCTTCTGAATTGAAGGAACGAAGGAGAAACTCAAGAGAGAAAGAAAGAAAGAAAAAAAAGTCGTGGATCGGCGCAGGTGTCACGGATATGAATTCGAATTCCTCGTTAATAGGCCGGTTTTCGATTCGAAATTATGCCACGCTCGCGCGCTTACGTACGCGCACGCGCACGCGCATGGCTCGGAGGCTTCTCGCGAAAGTAAAGAATCTAGAGTAATTGGCCAAGTCGGGGCAAGGAGAGCGAGTTTTTCCTTCTTTCGACGGATATCTATCGCCAATGGATATCGTTAATCCCTCCGTTTACAGGACAATAACGGTTCTATGAGTAATTGTGAAACGGTAGTAGTTTGGATTTCTCTTCGGTGTTTTAAAATTGTGTTACTCTTAGAGACGCGGTCGATGTAATTGGTATGATTGATGCCCGTTGTAAAAGGTATGCAATTATTAAGAGTTGAACTTATTTGGTGGTTATATCGTATCGGGTAGTTTATTGCCACCTGTGATATAATTAACTGTTACGATAAGAATGTGTTAATGGGTTAGTTGATAAATTGTCGGTGATAATAATTTAGTATCGTTAAATACGTCATAAAGGTTTTGTTACAATTTTTTACTGTCGAACAAAAAAGAGAACAAACAGCGAGATAAATTAAATTGTATTACGTATCAGTGAAATCATTCGCTTTTTTTTCTCTATTTTTTTTTTTTTTTTCGTTATATAATATTTGAGAATATCGAATTTAAGAATAACAGTTTTTTTTCTCCCATTCTATGAAAACATTTCATTAATATAAAATAGAAAGTATCTTGATTTCACATGAACAAACTTTTCCAACTTATAAATCTCAAGTTTTAATCTTCTTTTCTTGCCATATTACGTCTAACAAATTAAATCTTCGAATAAATTGGATTATTATTTATATGGATCTCGAGAAAATTCGTATAAGTTATTTTAATATGAATTTGTTAATCTTATAAGTGTAACTTGCACGGTAAAAATAAAGAATAATGTCAAATACAGAATATACGAAGCTGGTAAATTGAATTAAATTACCATTAAAGTAACAGTTACTTTTTATGATCAATTATTTCAAAAATCATTTACTACAAGAACTATATTTATCACACATAGGTTAACAGCTTAACTACTTTGAACTTCAATGAAAAAAAATATAGTATCTTAATTGACAATGAGATAAGTATAGAAATATGCTCATATTCTGCATATCGGTATCTCGTGAGAAAAATATATTCGATCCAGTAAATTTATATTACAATAAAGCAATAAAAGAAATCGCCATTTTTCAACGATGGCGATTGAGATTAAGGAACGCGAAAGGACGACAGCGTGGAGTGGACACACCAATCGAAACGAATCGAAATTGCACAATTTTCAATCGACGATTCGCGTCGCGTTTTCCGTCGGAAGCCACGAAATCATGGTGGCTCGTTCGCACTTGTGGCTCGCCACACGTATCCCGAGGCCATTTATTAACCCCGCTGAAAATTCCCGATGAGACGAGTCGTTAAGACCGATCGTTTGCCCAGTCGAGTTCGTCGATCACGAGTCACGACTTTTACCTTTAAACAGGCTCCACGCTCAAATTGACGACGTGAATCCATCCCATTTGATTTTATCGCACGCGAGCTATCATTGGTTAATGCCTGGTTTAGCGATTTCTTTTGATTTCGACAATATCATAGTTTCATTTTGTCGTTAAAATAAAATTTAACATCGAGGACGAAGAGAAATATTATTATTAATTATTATGAAAAATTGAAAGTCTTAGGGATAGAAGTCAGAGGTGAAAGAGACATTTGTATCAAGAGATTTTTCCTCTTTCCATACGAGGAAATTCTTATTACTATTTCATTTTATAAATTTTATTCTTCTTATTCCTTCAATTTTCACTCTA